TTATTTTATTTCGCAATAATTTTTCTTTCTAATTGTATTATAGCAAGTGAAAACTTAAATTGTAAATTAAATAATTAAATTGAAAACTACTCAAAATAATAAAATCTGCGATTGCTAACTCGCCTCCTGAGCGTGGCAACCTCTCTATGTGGAAATCTATGGGGGAAGCCATAGAATACTATAATACATACGTAATAGAACGAGGGAGTGGGCGGAGCTCGTGTAGCCACTAAAATGCCACTAACACGTCAAGTCACACGTATAAATGTCAACACGAGATGTGTTTGACGTTATAATCGTTTCCAAATTTTGCATGCAAATTATTTAGAAAATCCCAAATTGCACGCTATTTACAAATAAATATGTATTAAAATCCATCTGTCAACACAGCGAATCGGGTTTGTAGTAGTGATTAACCACGATAATTATCCACTGATAATACGAAGTAATTGCTTGTATGTGTGCTCCCGGCGACGCCTATCGTCGTACGTAAAATAAGGTTGACAGCCATTCTATCGTGCATTATAGTATTCTATGGGGGAGGCATTGAGTTATATGTACTGCGTACTAGAGAAGCTTCCAAACAAAAAATGTGCACTACTCTGTATCCGCACATGCGCGGCAAACAGTAGAGTCGCGCACGCGCAGTTGATATAAACGCGCGAAAATTGTCATAATAAATAATTGTTTATTTGGATTTTATTGTTAATCGACTACATTTTTTTTAATTTTCGTTTATTTTGCATATGTGCTAATTTAATATAAAATTATTATTAGCGCCGCTCCGCACTGCATGAAAATCGAAGCCACAATAACAGGCGTACGGATTGCAGTACAGTTCAGTTGAACATAGTGAGCGTTCGGAATGCCATATCTAGTGCGTAGTACATATATATCGATTGAGGGAGGCATACGCCTCCACCATAGATTGCTATGTGCATTGAACGCATTGATTGATGTGTTCTGCAGTGTAATTTTATAGGTTATAATGTATTTTTTGATAAGGATGACAATCGAGCACACAGTCCACCTGATGGTAAGTGGATACTGTGGTCCATAGACATCTACATCTAATCCTCAATTACGTACCAAAATGCAGTTGCGTTGTAACCCCTGAGGACATCCTAGATGGAAATCCTCGTATCCACTGAAATAATTTAGGATTGAATTTATTAACCAGTAAAAATAAAAAAAATTGTTTTCTTTGTTCTACATCTCCAAATCTTATCTTCAATTATTAACATAAAAAAAGTAAACGAACAAACCATCTTATTGAAAATATAATATCGTTGCAATAAATTCAGATTATTAGGTATTACCCACTCGCTTGCTTTATTCCACGACTTAATTGAAATCCATCCCAAACTTTTTAGAACCTTTTTTTTTCGTTCAGCCGCGCATGCGTGTTTGAAGGTCAAATTTCTAAATAATCACAGTTTCACATTTGAATAAAAATGAAGTGTCGGTTTGAATTTGGAATAACTGGTAATTATTAAGCTCAGGGGGGTTATACGCAAGCTGTTAAGACATAAATAACCATTTTTAAATTATGTCCAGGCTAATGTATGAAATGGCCTAACCAATTGTGATGATTTTTTATTATTATTAGAGTATAGATATTAGATTAGGAGCACTGCCAGGAGTGATCTCGACTATTTAAAACTAATAAAATAAATACTCTTTGACTAACTTAAATCTAAATAACGCCACATGAATAAATCATATCCAGGCGAGGCCTCGCCCAGCCAGGGTTGCTAGTAATAAAAAAGATTTGTAAAATATAACACAAACGAATAATTGAACGCAGTTTGTATTATATCGTAAAAATGTATCTAAAGTACCCAATATACATGATAAAGAGCAACTTTTTTTTAAATTAAAGGCCACAATAACGAGCGTACACTGGGCAATAAAACACTTAAAATACAGAAATGTCAGTTGACTGCCAGTCATAAAATGATTATTTTAATTCTAAACATTATTCTGAGTCGTAAAAAGGTTTTAATTTTAATATTTTATCTGATATTTTTTAAGCTTTGTGAATTAAAAAGTTTTTAACGAGAGAGAAGTTAAGATTGAACTGCGCTCAACTTCACGCGTCGAAATTCTCATGTCCAAAAAAAGGTGGTTGAAATTACCTGGTATCATTAAGCAGTGATGCAAGTTATAATACTGAAGAATCATTTACGGTGACATTAATGAGTTGTTAGCGATTTATTATAAGATTTATGATTGAGATATGTCTTACAATTACCGCAATAAATATCGACTACACTATAAGTAACTCACTGAACAAAGAAATAACTGGATAATTTAAAAAAAAAATTCAACGACTTTAATTATCATCCGGTTGAAATTTTTAATGTACGACTAAAGTGTACACTACTATATGACACCGTATAGTTGTATATAGTAACGTGCAGTTGCATTAATTGATAGATCAATTTCATTTTTTAATGTAAAATAAAATAAAATTGTAATATATCAGTACCATTGGCTTCTATTTCGTTCACCTATTACGACCTATTTTTCTTTCAGACGATAAAAAAATCACCCAGTAAATAATAGCATTAAATATATAATATTGTATTGTTTAAATAATAGTATAGATAATCATTTATCACAGGTAGTCGATGCAAGTTGTTTAACAGTGGCTTAATGCCGCTGTATTTCGTAAAGTGAGTGTAGAGAACCGGATACCCTTTTGACCGGAAACGGAGCATTCCATTTTAGTCCTCAGGGATAAGAACGTCTCTGCTTTATCAATGTCTATGGGCCACATCATCCACTTACCATCAGTGGTCTATTTGCTCCTTTATCACCCTTATTCTATAAAACAAAACAACTTGCGATGATCTGTAGTAAGTAGTGAGTGAAATACAACGAAAGAGCTTTGTTAATATATTTTTATAATATAATGATAGGCAAAAATCGATTAACTCTAAATTTCCGTAAATAAGTTTTGCGCGTATCCTTTTCACGAAAGTCTATAGGAATATATCAAAACGGGCCGCATCCCTATGCATTGGCCCCGGACAAATTTAACTCAATATTTTCTGGTTGAAATATCACAAACACTCCCCCTACTCTAATATCCTTCCGCCATATAAAACAATACTGATGCACAATAAAAATAACGTAGAAATATGTCAAGTATTTCTGACTAAAATTTTATTACACTTTTAATCTGAATTCGATCGCTAAATCTGTTTTCGATGGTTGCGTTAGGTAGTCCACGTACCTACAGCGGCTCCAAGGCGCAGAGGCTTAGCAATAACTTGCGGTGCTGAGAGTTGCGGGTTCAAATCCCGCACGGAACAACTATTTGTAAGGCTTACAAATAATTGTTCCGGGTATGAACGTATGTCCTTGTGCAATTTATGTATGTAAACTGCCTCCACGGTACATGGATAAATCGCACTGTGGGCGTAATATATTTTTTTAATAATATTACGCTTATTTCGTCCCATGGGAGTCTTAGAGGGGGACATTTTATGATTACATTATAGTGACAAGCTTGCAACAGTGTCATAATCGTCATCATTACTGCAATTCACAAGTCCACTGCTGAACATAGGCCTTCCCCAAAGAATGCCACAAAGCACGGTCCTGAGACACCCAGGTCGTCAGGTACCTACTCCTAATGGTACGAGGCTGCCAATCGAGAACCTTTCTTTCCCATCGGTTGTCGGTTCTTCGAGCTACATGGCCGGCCCAGTGCCACTTTAGCTTACTAATCGCCAATATGCCGAGCCAATATTTCTCGGGAAAACGTCGCCGAGCCGCCGGGACAAACTTGTGTCGGAGGTCGAGTCTTTGCTGAACAAAGTCTTAGATTGGCGACGACTAAATCTAGTCCCCAGAATTCAATCCCCAGAAGACACAAATTTGCGCGTTTACCGCTAAAAAGAACCCCTTTGCCGTATCTCCTCAGTTTCAAGGCACTCCCCTTGGTGTCTCACCAAGTCACTTCAATTTTATAAAAGAGTACTCTATCACTTATCTTTTCTGCTGACATATATAGTCATATACTGGGATGACCTTTTTTACCGTCTAGAAAAAATAGGGTGTAAAATCCGAACGAAGTAGAAGCCTATGGCAATGATATTTTACCAAAAAAATATTTAATTAAAAAAATTTATGAATTAAAATCTATCGATATTGAAATCATATCCACCCTACTTTACGAACGGCAATAAAACAATAAATTTAGTAGGTAGGCATTTTGATCTTGTCGATTCGCAGAGTTACTGGCTAGGGTGGATTTTAATTAATTAATTTATTTACTTCAAAATGTTTGTGTTTATTTTTTTGTAAAATATCAGTGCTATATGCTTCTACTCCGTTCACATGTTACACCCTATTTTTTTTTCAGGTGGTATAGAGTAATATATATAGTGAATGATATATATACTCGTAGTGAATGAATTTAATACCGAGGTGGGATGTTACCACTCTCTGTAAATGTACACAAATAAAAAGAGACCTAAAACCACATTCATCGAGTCGGCGTTAGCTGGTGGCTGGGCGATAGAGATCGCTGAGCGAACGCTCAATACTCTAATACCGGTAATGGACGCCGACACGGTCGGTCTCAGTTCGATTTTCCGAATCGTTTGCGCCGTTCGGCGGGCAAGATAACGAGAAATGTCGCGACTATCGTTTTATGTGCATCGAAGATTGCCAGTGTTCGCTTTAGTATAGGCGCCTTGTAACCCCCGCTGGTATCGGCTGCGTATCCGAATAGACGGGAATGGGTTATCGATAATATTGTTAATGTAGTTCTGCTAGCTTTAAAATACTGTGCTCAATTTATACCGCATATTAAATATGCTGCTAAACTTAATTCTGTATTTTCATTATTTGTGTTGCAAGCATATAAAGCTTTAAATTATGCACAGTATTTTCTTTTATTTTACTTTTAAAGAAAGCGAGACGTATTTAAGTAATGGTAAAATATAATATCATGCACATACCAAAAAAGCTTTGCGATCAAGAAGATGACTGTCATTCCTGAAATATCTGTAACAAAAACGTTAAGAGGTTAGTGAATTACAAAAATAAAACTTACTTTACAAAAGAGTATGTATGGCATTACCTCAGAACTTTATAAAAATATTGTACAACCTATGAGTGTTGTCAGTGGTGACTTATGGATCTGAGACATGGTCCTTCACTGCTAGCCATATTAGGAAACACATTGTCGCTGAGCGAGCTATGGAGAGGTCTACACTCGGGGTATCTGTATAATAGACTTAAAAAAGAGGATATCCGTAGTAGAACCAGAATATCCGACATAGCCTAACGGATTAGTAAGCTGAATGGGCCAGCCACACAGCTCGAAGAACCGTCAATCGTAGGGAAAAGAGGTTCTCGAACGTCAGCTTAATACCGGTAGACGAAGAGTGACAACCTGGAAAGACATGTAGTGAGTCGATGGATGCAGATGGCTCAGGACCGTATTTTATGGCATTCTTCGGGAGAGGTTCAGCAGTAGAATTGGAAAGGGCTATAATGATGATGATGTGAGGTATTGTATATGATCATTGTGGCTCAGTAAAAACGGGTCTCCGGTTCTCTACACTCACCATACGAAACACAGTAGTATTAAGTTGCTATTTTACGCTATTATTCTGTGAGAGAGTGGTCCTACCCCAGTCGAGTTAACCCATTCGTGCTACAACCATAATATAGCTGCAACGTGCTTCTACCACGTATAAAGTATTTACGATATATTTTATGAGTATTTCACCTTAGTTTTTAAATTTTAGTTATTTACTGTCAGTGTTGTGTTCGAGGTAGTCTACAACCGAATGACCGGATTGAACTTAAACAGTGTGCTAAATGGCTCGCTGTGCGTAAATTTATGGCAAGTTAGTAGATTATTGCCGCAGCATAATGCTGTATTTAGTTGTTCTGAAGAATTTTCTTTATTTATACATACACTAAGGTACGTGAGGGTAATATGTCATTTTAAGTTTTGCCACCCTATAAAACTAAAACTAGGAGGCACACAGAGACAAAAACACAAAGTCGTCTAATATAATTACTAATATATTAAGAAAATATTAGCAAAAAAGCTCAGACAATAATTAGGAAAACGTCGGAAAATTAATTAAAAAAAAACTAACTACACTACACAATACTAAAATCGACTAAAATATTTACTATAGTGTCAACTGTCAAAATGGCGTCGATAAAGCAGAGCCCTTTTGACCTTTTATTATTTGATTGACTGATGAAGAGCTATCGTATCATACAGCCATATATGCAAAAAAGGCTATAGTTGCTGTGTAATAAGAACGTGTTAACCGGGTGACCATATTACCCTCACGTACTATATTACAATATAGGTCATTAATTACGTTTCGAAAATTTATATCACCCATAATATTACCTTATATTTGTATTGCTTTATATAAACAAGGAACAACGACAAAAGATATAAAGTCAGCCATGGAAAATTTATTGAGACGCAGAATAACATAACTAATACGCATTAAAGCACTACTAATAAAACTAACGATTGTACACAAGGACAAATGACATCATTATACATCTTACTTAACAACGCAGGAGACAATCGAGCGAGGTTTATAATAAAGCGAGATATTCTGATGAGATCTGCCGACGAAGCGATGCACGGACGGACAAAAGATTTCGATTAATCACGTCGCTGAATACAGCCGCTGAAAAAAGTGCGTACGCGTTTTCTTATTACTTATTATTATTTGTGTATGTTTTGAATGGATCGAAATAATAATAATGACGACAGTCTTTTTGTTGGACAGTAAAATGCTGGTTTGAATAAGTTAATTTTTTTCCGTTTCTTATCAACAACAAAAAGAATGGAATAATATCAACATCCTTTAGGATTCTTGAGTATCGGACTCTTAACGCATAAAATTAAATTTAATATATCCAATTGGCCTTTAAGAGTCCACTGCTGAACATAGGCTTCCCTCATAAATTACCTCACAGAGAAGATTTTGCCAGCCAGTTGGCAACGAAAGATTATATATCTTTAATATATTATATTCTTAATACTGCCTATCTCCTGTTTCAGTTTCACTCTAACGCCTTTACGACACCAACATGACCGTATGGAGACGTGGATGTTCTTACACACTCTACACGTATAATATTTAAGTATCTATAAGTTTCATGTTTACCTAAACCTAAAAATAATATTCATACATAAAACAGTCTTCTGAGCACACTACTAACGGACGGTAGCGATTTACCTAATTCTTTGTAGTCATAAGGTATAATTTTCTAAAATACATTTTTCCATTAATCTGTTTACTATTTCAAGCTTTTTTTTATAGAATAAGGGTGACAAACGAGCACACCGTTCACTTGATGGTAAGTGGATGCTGTGGCCAATGGACATCTGCATTTATCCTCGGTTAAGAATCAAAACGCAGATATGCGTTGTCAAACCTGAGGACTAAGATGAATGCCTCGTCCCCAGTAAAAAAGAGACTCAATAAAAAGAATTTATGTTTATAGATAAATTACCTAAACATAAAACAAATCTATAAAATGTCAGTAAATGTAACAAAACACGTTTAACAATACATATTTTATATTTTAACATTTTGTAAGATCAGTCAAACGTTTTAAAAAACTTTCCCGATTAATATCTCGAGTGTACCGCAGCGAACGCGTGGGAACGCGGCGATGCGAAATATCTAGATTACATTAAGGCTCTTAGCGACTTGTGTCAAAGTACCGGTTCGCAATGCAACTGGCTACAAGAATATGCGACAATGTGAACTATTATATAACGCAATTATGCTCGCGATATCGTTCTAATTTGTCACCGCTTTGAATTGATTCGTGACGTAATTCTATGACTCTTAACAAAAATATTAAAAACTCAAAATGCTAAGCACTTAGATAATTTATGCGTTAAAAGTTGTTTACGACATTATTCGCGTGGGCTTTGGGCTTTATGTTAATGCAAAGTCACTCGAGTTTATATTTTATTGTTAACAACTAAAACCAATCCTAGAGCAGTCAAGCATAATCCGGGCAAATTTTATGTCAAGTTCAAGTTAAAGTCAAGCTTTAATAAGACAAAAAGGAGGCCTGATGGGTAAATACCGGATAACTTTTTCCTCACATTTATCAAATATAAGAGAAAAGTTTGATATTTGTAACATTTCATGTGTGTATGTACATTCACATATGTAAGAAACTAAGATATTGGATTTGTTATTAACGGAGAGAAATGTCTTTCTAGATTGTGTAATGTATTTATGAGCTGTAATAGATTTTAATATTTATAGTGCAGTAATAATTTGCGGTACGTGAGCAAGACCAGTTCGTTTTCCGTTAGCCCTCGGTTGGTCGCGTGGGGTCTTTAAAAGCCTAGGTATTTTTAAAATGCAAATATTTTATTGTTAATACTATCATAGAAACTTGAAATTCCAGGTACCCTCCTAAGTTTGATTATAGTTTGATTATAGCTAAGTTCAGTGCCCGCGCAGGCGTCGTGAGATACGGAAGGTTATTTTGTGCGTAGGCTTTCAAAGACCCCACGTGACTAACCGCATAAGTAAAAAGTGATTGGAACTTATTTTTTTATTTACTTGTAGCACATGATATTTTGATGATTTTTGTGTTGTTTTATGCTTTTTAGTTACTATAATGGACGCTCGACAACAAAAACGTATATTGCACTGGTTGGAGGAGGAGGAAGAGGAGATTCTTGGTGGAGAGGATGATGAAGATGGAAATCATATATACCCGGACGAAACAAGCGAACACAACACGGATTCAGAGCAAGTATGTGATGATGGTGATCCAGAAACCCAAGATCATGTGTCAGAATCGTCCGAAGACTAACAAATGGATGTAGATAGTTCAGGTAGTGACTATAATGAGCCATTGATCCACATGTCATCACAGATCTTTTATTTTGTCAAAAAAAAAAGATTAAAGTGGCCACTATAAAACAATTTGTAAATGGAGGAAGACACCGTACCCACAGGGTATCAGAACAAGGAGACAGAATATAGTTACAGAGCAACCAGGCCCGCAGGGTACAGCTCGGGCGTGTGAGTAACCCCTTTGAATCTTGGCTTTTGTTTTTGGACGTTGATATGTTGAAGCATATTGTGGAGTGCACGAATATAAAGATAGCATCTATGCAGACAAATTACGAGAGGCAGCGTGACTGTGAGGAGACCAATATCATTGAGCTAAAAGCGTTGATTGGTATTATGTATCTGATTGGTATTCATAAATCGTCACATGCTTTGATTGATGATATTTGGATGGCTGATGGTACGGGGTTAGATAAATGCCGTGCTACTATGTCCAAGCAAGGTTTTCGTTTTTTTATTAAGAGTCCTCCGATTCGATAATATTCATACACGGGAACAACGCAAAGCCGTTGACAAACTGGCGCCAATAAGAGAGATATTTGAGCAATTTGTAAAAAATTGCCAGACAAATTACAAGAACACTGAATATGTTACTATAGATGAAATGTTGGAGAGTTTTAGAGGCTCGTGTGGATTTCGCCAATATATGCCAAGCAAACCAGCTAAATATGGCATAAAGTTGTTTTCTCTAGTGGATTCTATGACATTCTACACAAAAAACTTAGAAATATGTGTCGGAAAACAGCCAGAAGCCCTACTTTCAAGATACTTCAACAAAAGCTCTTGTCAAACGAATGATTGAACTAATATCAGGTACAGGACGAAATGTGACCAATGGATAACTGGTTTACTAGTGTTACATTAGCTGAGGACCTATTGAAAAATCATAATTCGATAGTAGTGGGTACATTGAGAAAAAATAAACCAGAAATTCCAAATGAATTCAAGCGAAAAGGCTTGGAAGTACATTCCACAGCGTTTGGATATAAACCGACAGAGACTTTGCTCTCATACTGCCCAAAAAAGGGTAAAACGGTGTTACTACTTTCAACTATGCACAATGAGGGTATAATAGATGAGACATCCGAGAAAAAGATTCCAGAAATCATAATTTTTTATAATAAAACGAAAGGTGGAGTGGACGTGGTGGATAAACTTATCGGAACTTACACTGTTGAACGCGTTTGCTTCCGATGGCCGTTGAGGTTGTTCTTTACAATGCTCGATGTTGGAGCGGTAAATGCCCACATAATATTGGATACCGTAAATCCTAACAACCGAATAGGTCGCAAGTTATTATTGAAAACGCTAGCATTCGAACTATGTCGTCCTCAGTTGGAATCGCGGGCCACTATATCAACTTTGCCACGCGAATTGAAACAGCTTATTCTGCGATTCGTACCTCGTCCCGTGGATGTTCCTCACGAAGATACTGGTTTCGTACCTATGAGGAAACGAAACACTGCACCAGGGGAACAGATAGAAAATTTAAAACTATCTGTATTTTTGTAAGGGAAATATATGTCCAATACATTCAAAATCAGTATGTACTGACTGTGTTCAAACGGAAAATTTGTGTGAATTTGAAACGCAAAAGTATATATTTTTTTGTTGGATCTACTTACATTTCTTTCATATTGTTAAATAATGCCTTAAAATACCAAAAAAAAAGGTTAACACGATTGTTTTTTTTTATTGCAAGAAATATATTTTTTTTTCTCTAAGTCATGTAAAACACTAAAAATTTTGTTCCTATTTTCTAATTTTAAGTTTCAAGGAGTTAATGAACATTTATTTTCTAATAAATTATAGTCTTTTTATTCAAGTAATATAAATAAACAATTATATGATATAATAAATAAGAAAATAATAATTGTAAGGTGTTTTTTTTTGCGACCAACCGCGTAAGTTTAAAAGCGCGACCAACCGAGGGTTAACGCCGATAAAATTATTAATTGCTATTTTAAGTGCAGATTTTTCACGAGCTCGATGAAGTAAAAAAAAACATCGTTTAGAAGTGATTTAGAATCAGAACACAATGTGAATTCTAACAACATGCATTAGAACCACGAGGCTGACAGTCCTTTGGGTTAAAACCCTTTTACGAATAAGAGGCGGTAGGTGCCTAGTAGTGGGCTAAGCTAAAATAATCATAGGGTATTAAACATTATTATTAGATTATATTTATTCATGGCTTTTTTTTTGCCTGTCGTTAAAAATAATCTTAGATACTATAAGTCGGTGTTTTATTCATGTTGATTTCATTTGTTAATTCATAACAGTCTAATCTAATAAAGTCCACAACTGAACATAGGCCTCCCCTATAGTTGCATCTTTCCCATTATGCTTTATCAGGGAGGATATTTACCACAGTTGTCATGCTTTGCAAGCAAGTTCGCAACCGCAGTTCCATTTAATTATTTTGAGTGGCTATCGTGTAGGTGCTGCTACTGTTTTGTTTCGCTACGTCGCCTTTTTCGATACTAATAGTGTATAGATGTATATAATAAGAGGTTTATCTATTATACATATAAATATAATTAAAATGTCTGTCGGTAATATCAAAATAACTGCCTTACATAGAGCTTAGGGGGTTATTGCACGCTGTTAAGACATGAATAACAATTTTTAAATGTTTTTTCGGACTGTCTGTTAGTTCGAGCTAAATCTTCGGAAAGGCTGAACCTATCGTAAAGAAATCTCGCGATGAGATAGAGAGCAATACTAGGAGTGATCTTGGCTATATTTTATCCAAAAAATTAGTTATTAAAAAAATTAATAAAATAAATGATGTTAGAGATCTTAAATCAAATTAACGCCATATTAATACATCCTACTCAGGCGAAGCCATTGCGTGTCGTTGGTAAGTAATAACTTAATAAATAAAAAAGTTCAACGAGGTTACAAATATATATATATATATATATATATATATATATTTTTATATATATATTAGTGCTTGTGTTAGGATCAACGGGGTCTACTCGGACTGGTTTGGCATCCATAAAGGTGTCAGACAGGGCCGTGTGGCTTCCCCGTGGTTGTTCAACCTATTTATGGACAGTTGTTTGCAAAATTTGAAAGTTGAAGAATGCGGATTAAGAATGGGTGAGTTAACCATCAAATGCCTTTTGTACGCCGATGATCAAGTTATTCTTGCGTCGTCGGCGGCTGAGTTGCAAATGATGGTTACATTAATGAACAGATCATTAAAAGAAAGGGGTATGAAAGTAAACGCAAGTAAGACAAAAATTATAGTTTTTGAAAGAGATGAAAGTAAAACGATATGTGAAATAAGAATAGAAGGGGAGTTGATCGAGCAAGTAGATGAGTTTGTATATTTGGGTTGCGTATTTAGCAGGGATGGGAGATATGATAAGGATTTAGAACGACGAGTGAACGCAGGAAACAGAGTAAATGGAGCCCTGCACTCTATTGTGAAGAGTCAAAATGTGTCGAAAAAGGCACGTATGGCAATTCACAATGCTGTGTTGGTCCCTACTTTAACGTATGGTAGTGAAAGTTGGGTGTGGCAGAAGAAGCACGAGAGTAGAATAAATGCAGTAGAAATGCGGTCGTTAAGGAGTATGTTAGGGCTGAATCTGAATGACAGGGTGAAAAATTGTGTGATAAAAGAAGAGTGTGGTTTGCAAGATAATTTTGTGACCAGGACTAAGAAAGGAATGCTTCGGTGGTTTGGTCATGTGGAAAGAATGGATGAGGAAAGAGTGACAAAGAAAATTTATGTTGCAGAAGTGAATGGCAGAGTCGGAAAGGGACGTTCTAGGCGAAAATTTATCGACCAAATTGGCGATTTATTGAAAACGGGCCAAATTAGGAGTACCCTTAACCGACGAGCATGCATGCGTAGGTGTATGGATGTGAAGGAGGCGAGAGAGGTGTGTCAGGATCGTGCCAAATGGAAGTCTGTAGTCTCTGCCTACCCCTCTGGGTGACAGGCGTGAGTGTTTATATTTGTGTGTTTATATATATATATATATATATATATATATATATATATATATATATATATATATATATATATATTTTTATTATATTAAAATTTGCCCGGGCTATGCTTGACAAATCTAGGATTGGTTTTAGTTGTTTTCAGTAAAACATAAACTCGAGTGTAAAATACAAACATGAGCTTAGGTTATGTATAAATAACATAATCACACATTTTGTATGTTTTCCGTCTTTCAAAACAATTTAATTTTATTAGCCAGTAGCAAGAGTGTTGGATGGTACTCTGGGGAGTTTTTCTAATTTAGCTAGCAGGTAGTGATTCACTAGCGCCTCATCTGTTTGCGGTAATTGCCACTATTTAACATTCAGATGGCAACACTAATTTCAGAATGCGATTTAACTGTAAGCGAGATGCGCTTCTGGAATGTGCACTTGGAAATTAGCTTTGTAGTCGGCATTTAATTAAATACTTTTTTCCTTTGTGGCAGGCATTTTAAAGTTTTGTTCCTTATATACAGGTTACAATAATATTTTAACTCCCACATGTTTCTGTTTTCCTAGTCAATTTCAACCACGTAAAAATATTGTTCACTAGCGATCCCCTTCGGCTTTATATTCTGGATATTGACAACAGTGCCATCTACCGGGCTCCATTGTGAATCTAAGCCATCCAGAGACCACCCAAACGAAAAAAAAATATCAAAATCGTTCGAGCCGTTTTCTTATTTTAGCGAAATTAACGGACAGTAATTGATTTACATATATGGGGATTATAAGTTCTACATATACTTAATTTTCCTGAGCGTTTGTATTTCTTACGAATTATAAACCTCAGTTTAAATTTCAGTGTCCTGACCAATTTTCAATATGGCGGAAATTTCTATTTACGAAGGAATGACAACCACGTAGAACAGAAAAATTTAAAAAAGTGTTAACACATGAATAGCAGAATCACACATACAAACTGAAAGCCAAAACTAATTTATTCAT